ACAGTGTTATCTTTTAGCACTTAAACTATAACAAAAAATACAGTGAAAAAAGTCAATGTTCTTATTAGACTTACATTTTGTTCCTCTGGCTCTAGTTTTGGAATTTTATGAGATTTGCGCTCTTCCGAGTGGGAGGCGTCGTGTTTGTTGCTCTTTTTCCTTTTCTCTTTTCTCCCTTCATGTTTCGGCTTCGCATACTCACTCGCTTGTACTTCATTTAAAAGGTCCCCGCACAGAGAGGACTCGAACAATTCCCTGCCGTTCTGAATAGTTTTGGTTATTTTTAATTTGATTTCTGGGGAGCCAGTCTTCTTTGGGACCACCGTTTGGGATACCGGAGGAGGCGGAGGCTGGGGAGGAGACTGCTTCTCCAGGATGTCGTGCGGCCTCAAGTTAGAGTTCTCCATTTGATAATACTCAGGTGGACTAAAGTTTCTAACTGAGCCAAAGCCGTTGGCCGAGCCGTTGGGATACTGACTGTAGGACTGATATTTGGCTTGGGGCTCGTACATGCTGATTGGTGGGAATCCATTAATGAGGGGTGGGAGGTCCTCCGTGGTTGGCGTGGGATACTGAAAGCCTTGCTGCAAGGAGAGCGCCGCTTCGTAGGGCGTCTGCCTGCCATCTTCCGTGATGTCGCTGCCGGCATCAAAAGCATCCTCCTGGCGGTTGTTAGCCGAGTCAATGAGTTGAGGTGGTTGCTGAATTGTGTTTCCCATGATCCCTTGCATGAAAGAGAAGGAGAAATCCATTGTTCTGCTCCAGCATCCTTAGCTTTCCCTTTTTCTCATAGGGCCTAAAAAGGAGAAGCAGAAGGGAAAGCCGTCAGTCAACATTCTGGGGCAAAGTTCAGAAAAAGAAAACAAAAAGGTGGATCTGTTCACAATTGTCCTCCTAAATAATACAAAAGGCCATGGGGCAGCTCAAAAGTTTGCTGGGAGATAAGATTACTTCTATCATTATTCTATGACTTTTGTATTTTGATCCTTGTATCATTGATACATTTTATCAGTGGTTCTCAACCTTATTTATTTATTTATTTAAAAGTTTTGTCTACCGGCCTTCTCACCTCTCTTGAGGGACTCAGACCAGTTTCCAACCATAATATCACATACAATCAATAAAACATCATAATTCATATTACAATAAAACATTAAAACAGCAATTACATTCAATAACTACAATGGTCAGTCGTCACACTAAAATCGTTGTTCATCATCCTCCATCCATATCTCAGGGTGTTGGCTCACTCGTCGAATGCCTGTCTCCATAACCACGTCTTTACCTGTTTCCTGAATGTCAGGATAGAAGGGGCGGTTCTGATCTCCAGTGGGAGAGAGTTCCAGAGTCGAGGGGCCACCACTGAGAAGGCCCTGTCCCTCGTCCCCACCAGACGCACTTGCGAGGCCGGTGGGACCGAGAGCAGGGCCTCTCCAGACGATCTTAATAATCTTGATGGTTCATAGGGGAGAATACGTTCGGAGAGGTAAACAGGGCCGGAGTCGTTTAGGGCTTTATAGGTTAACACCAGCACTTTGAATTGTGCTCGGAAGCTAATTGGCAGCCAGTGGAGCTGGTGTAACAGCGGAGTGGTGTGCTCCCTGTACCCAGCGCCTGTTAGTAGTCTGGCTGCCGAGCGTTGGACTAGCTGCAGCTTCCGGGCAGTCTTCAGAGGCAACCTCACGTAGTAGTCTAAACGGGATGTAACCAAAGCGTGGATAACCCTGGCCAAGTCAGACTTCCCAAGGTACGGGCGCAGCTGGCGCACAAGTCTTAATTGTGCAAAAGCTCCCCTGACCACCGCCGAGACCTGGGGTTCCAGGCTCAGCAATGAATCCAGGAGAACTCCCAAACTGCGAACCTGCGCCTTCAGGGGGAGTGGGACCCCGTCCAGCACAGGCAGTCACCCTATGACCTGTTCGGCTTTTCGACTTCCTAATGCCGTGACTCCTTAACAGAGTTCCTCATGTGGTGGTGACCCCCAACCATGAAACTATTTTCGTTGCTATTTCATAACTGTAATTTTGCTACTGTTATGAATCATCATGTAAATATCTGATGTGCAGGATGTATTTCCATTCACTGCACCAAATTTGGCACAAATACCTGATATGCCCAAATTTGAATACTGGTGATTGGGGGGATTGATTTTGTCATTTGGGAGTTGTAGTTGCTGGGGTTTATAGTTCACCTACAATCAAAGAGTCTTCTGAACTCCACCAATGATGGAATTGAACCACACTTGGCACACAGAACTCCCATGATCAACAGAAAATGCTGGAGGTTTTGGTGAGCATTGACCTTCATTGTTTGAGTCCAGTGTTCTCTGGATGTAGGTGAACTACAACTCCCAAACTCAAGGTCAATGCCCACCAAACCCTTCCAGTATTCTGTCGGTCATGGGAGTTCTGTGTGCCAAGTTTGGTTCAATTCCATTCGTTGGTGGAGTCAGAATGCTTTTATTGTAGGTTAACTATAAATCCCAGCAACTACAACTTTCAAATGACAAAATCATTCCCCCCAAACCCACCAGTATTCAAATTTGGGTGTATCAGGTATTTGTGCCAAATTTGGTCCAGTGAATGAAAATACATCCTGCACATCAGATATTTACATTACGATTCATAACAGTAGCAAAATTACAGTTATGAAGTAGCAACAAAAATAATTTTATGGTTGAGGGTCACCACAACATGAGGAACTGTATTAAGGGGTCACGGCATTAGGAAGGTTGAGAACCACTAATCTAATCTAACTGAAAGCTCTTTTCAGGGTGCAAAAAAAAAATCTTCCTCTGGCCTGTTTGGATGATACTTATATCCTGCCACGGTAAGGCATAGCTTGCCCTCTACAACCTACTTTCATGCAGAGCCGCTACACCCATGATGGCGAACCTATGACACATGTGTCAGCACTGACACGCGCCATTTTTGATGACACACAGCCGCATGCGGCCGCATACAGAGAAGATGGGGCCGCATCCCAAGAAGGACATTTCATCCTCGGCTCCTACACCAGCATTTTTCTATAATGCCGAGATATATGGCATTATAGAAAAAGCAGGTAAGTTAAATAATTAGTTTTTGGTTTATTAAATACAGTTATATATTACAATAATATATTTTTGTTATTAAACTATAAATATCATGAAATTATGGGGTTTTTCTCAAAGTGACACCCCACTCGAGTTATGCTCGTTTTTTTGGCAACTATTGACACACCAAGCTCAAAAGGTTGCCCATCATTGCGCTACACCATGCTGGTTCCCAAAATCATATTCAACATTCCTCTGTAGGTTAACATGAACTCATTTCCTCCTGTAGTCCAGAGAACCCAAAGAGCTGACTGTCTAATCAAGAAATGAGATTTTTAGAAGCAGCTACATCATTCTAGTATCTAAAAAATACAAACCCAATGAGACTTTGTGCTTTTCTTCACTTCATGTCTCTAATTTGAGTCCCAATGACAGACATAATCTGCAGTTTCAGTCAGAAACACAAAGCTTTAAGGATAAAAGCACAATCCAGTTTGCTTTTAAGTTTGCAATCAATCAGGAGGTGCTCTACAGCTGACAAGAAGCAATCCAGATGTGTTATACTGTATGTCTATCGACTGACAATAGATTTAAATGCTGCTTCACTGCACAGTAGTGTTCCCTGGCCTTGCTACATTGTGTGCATATGTGTGTGTTTGCACACGCATGCGTATGTGTTGTGAGCGTGTGTTTATACACGCTCTTCCTTCTAAGATTTTTAAAATAAAGTATCCTAAGAGGAAACATTTTGAGATTTACTAAAGGCCAACCAAAGTGTCAAAATCAAGGTCAATGAGTACTTACTAATATAATATGTGGTTTTCAGAGTTACCAAAGAATAAGTGCTAAGATTAGAAATGAAACCTTTATGGCATGTCACTTTTTTCTGGCTGTGACATTTGACTGTGTTCAGTTCTGTTTTCTGCTTGGTCCAGATCACAGCTGGGATAAACACTCCCCTGAAATCAAGACTTCAATGGATTGCGAAACAAGAGGCTTCGATAACATTGTGGGTGTTTACCTCCTGGAGAGGGAATGAGCAGCAGGAAGTCGCAAAATTGCAATTACCAAGTAGCAACAAAAATAAAGTTATGGTTGAGGGTAGTTACAGAATATAGAGAATTATACTGCCATATATATAGTACCCTTGAACTAGTGTCCAGTATAGATGGCCATATATAATTAGCACAGAGGTTAAAGCATTGACTCTGCAGACTAGGGTCCAAATTCCCACTTGGCCATGGAAACCTATGCTCCAAAAATATTCCCCCCTGGAAATGTATGTGGGTCTCTCTAGATCAGTGGTTCTCAACCTTTTTTTGACCAGGGACCACTTTGTCCAGGGACCACTCTACAACATTAGGACCAAAAGGGTTACAAATGAGTTTTTGGTCAACTTCAGATTTGATTTGGTTATTTGGAGTGCTGATTCAGAAATTTGCAGTGGATAGACCACATCAGCTCTAGTTTCTGATATAGAACATATGCCATCTAGTAGTCGCCATCTGCTCACCCACCAAAAACAATATTTAATAATCTAGAGCTGATGTGGTCTATCCAATGCAATTTTCTGAATCAGCACCACAAATAACCCCAGGAACAGGCCTAAAAACGAAGACACCACAAATATAATTTTATGGTTGTGCTGTGTTATTATCCGTAGTAGTAATGGTGAGGTCACAGACCATATTTTAGTTCTTGCAGACCACTGATGGTCCATGGACCACAGGTTGGGAGCCACTGCTCTAGATCCACTATTGCATGGTATGTCAAGTATAGTCAAAATAGAAGTTCATGGTTTTAGGAATCCACAACATATCCCCACCTGATACAGTGGTCCAACTGTGGTAATAGGGATACTAGTCTTCCAGAGGAACAAGATAGCTGCCCTCACTCTTACACATTAATCTGCCTAGGCTAAACTCTAGCACACGTTACATGCAATACACAGACCTTGCAAAGCCTTTAAATATTAAAAAAGGACAATAAGGATATGACAATATTCCTCGATCAGGCCATATGACTATAGGATACAACATGCATGCATCCCTGAATCTTCTTGTGTGCCTTCAAGATGTTTCAGACCTATGGAAGCACTGAGATGAGGATATCACAGAGCTTGGGGGGCAAGACGTATTCAGAGGGGGTTTGTCATTGCCTTCCCTTGAGGATGAGAGAGTGCAATTTCCCCAGGATCCCCCAGTTTAGTTTCTGTGGTTGAGGGAGAGTTCAAACCTTGATCTCTTGGAGCACTAGTCCACACTCACACTACAATACCACATCCGTTCCCTACCCTTGAATCGTGGCAGCCCAAAAGTTAGCTCTACTTCAGAATGTGGCAAGAGGGGTGAATTTTGAATGATACGCACTTTATAAGAGGCGGGTAGAAATAGCACTCTATTACAGAAATTTAAAGAGATGCCAATCATTGCATCTAGACAATGCTATTTCAAGTTTCATTCGCTTATCATGCTACAGAAAAACAAGATTACTTTTACTTGGCTTCCGCAACTGTAAGCATAGGTGCAGGATGCAACTGATATATTCAGAAATCGCCTTCTAGCTAACCTTGCCAATATCAGAACTTTAACAAAAGTAGGGCAGAAGGATAAGTATGAAAGTGTCAACGACTCATTCGCATTTAATTTTCTATACTGTACATATAAAAACTGTTTTCGAAGCACACCCTAGCAAGACTATAAACTAAACCTCAAAAATACAGATAAAGGTAACATGGCATTCAAAGGAAGATCAACCCAGTT